TGGATGAGGTGACAGGTGGAAAGTCACCCCTTGCCTGTGGAACCTCTGGGTTTTGTTTGTTTTTATTTTTTCTGAGAAGCAACTCAGACAGACAGGTGAGAAAATTGTGGATCTGACTTTCTTCAGGACCTGCTTTCCCATTTTCCCACTGTTTAGGCCACAGAAGAGAAAGTCTGAAATATCAGCCTGCACTGAATGAAACTGTTTCAAATAAGTCATCCCATCCAGCAGACGAAATAGCATGGTAATGGCCTACAGGACTCACACCGGTCTGTCTCTCAGCTGCTGCCAAAAACAAGAGAATGTTTCCTTTGGAAGTGTTCTTTGTTCTTATTTTAAGGTAAATCTTTACTTTGCAGACTGCAGGGCTTTTAACATTACCTCAAAGTTAACTGTGGAAACCATGATCCTTTGTGGTAGAGAACATGGGCCAGGACAGTACTTTTTGGTAGACCTTGGCTCAGGGACGTTCTTGTTGGATTTTGCAGTGCTTTTGGTGTTGTCAGCCCCTGCTTCCTCTATAGCTGGTGCCAACACGGGGAAAAGGGAGGAATTAACTCGCAGGTCCAAGGAAGTGAGACCCTGAGGGATTTTGAGGACCAAATTTGGCCTCCCACAGTGTACCAGGTCTCTGTCCAGGAGCCCAAGTGACAAACCAGGGGCTGCAAACTGGTGGAGAGGGAGGGGACAGGGAGTCTGGATATTTTCTTCATTACAGTGGTGCAGAAGGGATTTAAAAATCTCAAATGTGGGCTTTACAGTTTATCCTTGATTCCTGGGCTAGTTCAGATACTCCCTGCTTCTTATCTGAAGCTGTAAGCTAGAGATTCCAAACCAGTGCTGCTGCTGCTTCTTCTCCTTCTCCTTCTCTTCCTACTTCTTCTTCTTCTTCTTTTTTTTTTCTTCCAGGATCTTTATTTTTCTTCTGGCCTCCCACTCCCTGACTGGAAAGAAGGCAGTCCCTACCCTAGCTTCCTTTGAGGTGTGAAAGTAATGTTTGCCTGTAGTATAGAAATGGAGAGTGAAAGCCAAGCACCCACTCCATCTCCTTTTATGTGCATTTAGGGTCTGAGAACAACAAAGGGAGGAAGAAAGTATAAGACAATAGGGATTAATAGGGACTGCAGGGGAGCCCTCCCCAAGGCATTCAAATTTAAATCTAAAACCAAACAACCAATCAACCAAACAAACAAATCTTACTGCAGACCAGATATGTCCCTGGGCTGTCACTTTGCCACACCTAGGTATTCCCAGGCATTTCTAACACATACACAAAGATAAACAATAGTATAAACACAGATACTTAGATATATGGAATCCACATTTTTTATACAAGTAGGATTATAGGGTGATAGAATTGTTTTACACGTTGCTTCTTCATGTAACATTGAGAAGCTCTGCATGTGGGATGACTTCCTAAATAGTACACGATAGATGAATATTTAGATTATTTCCAGTTTAGATAAGTGTTTTCTTTTTCTTTTCCAAATAACATAGCATTGTTCAACCTTGGACACGTGTCAGGGAATATACGTGGGCAATTTGACAAAGTGGGATTGCTGGGTCAATTTTGATGGCTACTACCAAGAAGCTTTCCAAAAAAAGCTGTGTCTCATTCTACCAACAGTGTTCTTCTGTTTAATTTTGAATTTCTTTTCCTCTATATGTGTCTCATTAGTTATTCACATCAGAAAAGCTGCCCTCTTTTTCCCTAGCCAGAGTGAACTACCCACAGAAAGTTTCTTTATTCAGTTTATTGAAGAACTGTAGGAGCATAAATATGTTTTGCCTACATAAAGTTAATGGCCTGTGGTAAAGAAAGTAGACTTTTAAGTAGGCTTCCATGTCATTTGGCTGGGGAAACACTAGGTTAGTGTGTAGACACCTGGCATGGGTTTGGAGGAAAGAGGTGGGCCTTCCTGGGGTGTGCTGGCTAAGCTGGACCACAGCCTCCACTGCCTACCCCTTCCCTCTTGCTTGATGTACACATCACCACATCAGAAGTGGGCTGTTTCTCCTCTGCTAGGCATGTGCTGGATCCTGGTGGGGTGGGAATGTGCTTTCCCCTCCTGGAATTGGATTGCCCATTTTGGACTTCTAGGTGGGGCTAACATTTCTTGTGAGTACTGGGGTACACCATCCAAGGCTTCAGTCCCTTTTTCCCTGAAGTCTGTACTCTCATATCATTCTGGTGAAAGCCTTGCTCTTTTGCCTAGGGGCCATGGCCCCCTCTCTGTGCCAGTCAAAAGAATGCTTGGAATGGTATGGAAAGTTTAACCATTATTATTTTTTTTTTAAATACAGTCTTCTGTAGTAAAATAATTTGCCAACACACAAAATGTTTCTGCAAAAGTTAGTTAGGTGGTATTGCTCTGGTTCTTGCAACTTGCTCCTTCTTCAATCATGGGCTCTTTGGGTGCCATCTTGTTTCCCTGCCATTCTCCCTGTTACCTGGCAGATAGTCCCATCCCTTTAAACTGTGGTGGAATTTTGATCATAGCTAAATTATATTATATCATTTATTGTCTATCATATTACTTGTTATCAGTTTATGCATTTATCTCTACCATAGGATTGGAAGCTAGCCGAACTTCTTAGCAGCAATAATAGTGGTAAATAGTGCTTCCTATGTGCCAGGAACTCTACTAAGGGTATTATACATATTAACTCATTTAAATCTCATATATATTTTCACAATATCTTGGTATCTCTATTTCTGGCAACTTCCTGAATGCTCTACAATACTGATTTTTAGTTTACATGTCTCTTCTTCCACTTATCCAGAAGGAGTTTTAGGGGGGAAAATTATGTTATTTTAAAAAATACGCCAGTTCCTTGTATACTTAAAATGTACCAATAAAAAACCCCAATACATGAGTCCTTAGCATTATTAATAACATTTTTATAAAAGAATAGACAATAAAGAATAATAACAGGATTATTTAGCCTGATATCAAGATTATTTTTGGCTTTCCTAGACCATTAAATTAGAACAATCTATTTTCATTCACTAGAGTACAATAGCTATGCATTTTCCTCTTAAAAGATAAGTAAGCCAAGTGTGATGGTTGAAGCCTATAGTTTCAGTACTCTGGGAAGCTGAGGCAGGAGGAGTGCAAGTTCAAGCCCAGCCTGGGTAATTTAGAGACTTAGCAAGAATCTGTCTCTAAATTTAAAATAAAAAAGTATGGGGGATGTAGTTCTGTGGTAAGTCTCTGGATTCAATCTCTAATACCCCTCCCTCAAAAAAAAAAAAAAACTTCTGTAAGCATTAATTCTTTTAAGAAATGACTGTGACTTTTCGAATATTTTAATTCTACAAAACATTTCAATGAATGGATAAACATGAGCAGACAGAACTTCTGTAAGCATTAATTCTTTTAAGAAATGACTGACTTTTCGAATATTTTAATTCTACAAAACATTTCAATGAATGGATAAACATGAGCAGACAGATCTGAATTCAAATCCCGACTCAACAACTTATCAAAGCCTAAATTGTTTCATTGGTAAAATTAGGATAATAATAGTTCTTTTATAAGGTTATTACCAGAAATAAATAATTTACATAAGGAGTTTGGCATAGTGTCTGACGTGAAGTAATCAACACGTTTGCTATCATTCACTCATCATCTTTATAAAATGTTGGGATGACGAAAGGACACTGAAATAATTGATGCTGTCTAAGGAGAAAGGCAGGAAGGAAGAAGAAAAAAAGTGAAAATAGAAGAAAAAAATAAATAAAGCTTCTGTGCATAGGGATGGGAGGGGCTTGGGGGAAATGCAATAAAAGAAAATAAAATTTATTTTTTTAAAAAAGAAAGAAACTGATTTTTGAAGGATGAATGCGTTTTTAGGTAGCCAGTGTGGGGAAGGACATATGTGATCAGGGAAAAGGACATGCGTGAAAGTGTGGAAAAAAGGAAACTAACTGCATGGTATCTTTTGAGGAACTACAGTTAGTAACATTTGGTCAGATTATGAAGGCAGGCACAAGGGCAGCAGGGGATGTTAAGAAAGGATTCTGGAGGAAGACAAGGGCCACATTTTGAAATGTTTGTGACAAGCTGAAAAGGTTGAACTGAGCATCAGTAAAACGTTTTAAGAAGGAAAGAGATGTGGTCAGGTATGCACTTTAGCTGGTGTGTTAATGGTGAACTAGAAAGGCATAGTGGTGGAAACCTGGAAGCTAATCACAAACTGTAATAGTCCAGGTGAGAGATAAGGAGGCACAAAAGAAGGCAAGTGGTAATAGGGATAGAGGAGAATAGGATGAATTTTAGAGAAATTGGGCGGGGGGTAAGATGAAAATGACTAGGAGTAGGGAAACCGCTGCCTGTCTGAGCCCGGGACCTCATTCTGTTATGCCTCAGGTTCTGGTGATTGTGTGTGGGAGATTAGAGCAGACGGTAGTGCCATTAGCTAAGATAGAAAAAACAAGGAAGCAAAGATTTTGGAGGAGTCAGTGTGGGGAGCGATCGGGTGAAGAAGGGGTGGTGAATTTAACCTAGCTCTTGTTGACTACTGGACTTTTGTGTGTCAGCCATGTGAAGATGAACAGGCAAATACATTTGTAGTGTGGGGTAGAGGGTGGAGTTGGAGATAAAGATTGGGAGTCTTTAGGGTAAGTTAGGGAAATAGCTGGAACATGGGAGGCTCACCAAGATCTCTCCATAGTCAATTAATACTAAAATATCGCTTCTTTGGTCTTCACTTTTTTTTATTTAGTGAGTTTATTGGTACATTCTAGATATATATAGTACAGTTACATTCATTGCTGGGATCTTGTACCTTTACATGACAGGTCTTGGTTCTCGTTGCCAATGTAAAAAGTACTCTGGTCAGGCCGTACACAACTTTATTCTTTCTAACGCCTTGGACCAGTTAAAGGCGTGGCCTGCCATTTCATACCCTTTGCAATAGGTGGCGCTGGCGCCTAGCAGGCAGAAGGCAGCCACACATGCTGGGCTCGGGGTGAATGGCTTGTGCGCTGAAATGGCGACGCTCTAGCCCTAAGCCAGATATTCGGTGGCCTGGCCGGGTAGGCTCTGGAGGCCGGGGTCAGGGGCCCAGAACCAGGGGCATGCGTACCTGGTTAGCCCCCAACATGGACTCCTGAAGTCCAAATCTTATCTGAGTCAGGTAAGAGACGGATGGGGAAGGAGTAAGCTCCACCCTCACCCTAGCAGCCCGCCTCAAGAGTGGGAGTGGGCCCCATTGGTGTATGTGGATGGTGTGCGTGGAGCACGCTGAGTGGTGACAGTGGGCCAGGGGCGCAAGGGTCTGCGGGCTGCTGCACGAGGCACGCCACGTGTGGGAGGGCCATGACCCTCGTCTGCCGGCATCCGGTTAGCTGGCCAGTGCCCCTGGGCGTCGGGACTTGGCTTCTTGTGGGGCCACGTTCTCCCTCCTGGGAAATGGTGTTGAAAGTAGGAAAGAGCGCAGGCACCCGGATGTGACCTAGGGCTCAAGGCCAGGGGGTGGGCAGGTGGGAGGGGCCGGGGTGTGAGGCCCTTGGGTCCCCCGTGGGGTGAGGATCCTGGAGGACATGGTATAGCAGCTGAGGGAGGTGTGAGGTGACGAGAGCAATCGAGGAAAACCAAGACACCTGCTCCTGTGTTGACTCATCAAGGCAGGAAGATAATGTAAAGAGAGAAGCAGTTGTGTTTTTTTTAATTGAGTTTATTGGTACATTCTAGTTTTGTTTTGTTTTTGAAAGGGGAGTGGGAAGTAGGGAGAAAGAGTTGTGTGCTGTAGCCTTTCTTTCCCAGGCAGATGGAAAGAAATTATGTGTATGTCAGAAACAAAGTTGTAGTAACTGGTTAGAATCCTTTAACCTATTTATTTGCTTTGAGGCCTAGATGGCCTAGGTGTGGAATAGTGGGGTAGGAGTACCAGGTGTGGGATTGCAGGCTGTGTGAAGTAAGGCAGAGAGGTGTAAAGATAGCTTAAGGGTGCCTGGTAATACTGTAAATGTATAGAAACAACGATGCTGTCTGTTCTTTGGGTTTGTTTTTATGTGGTTGAGGGACTCAGCTCTGTTGCTTCTTTCTTTACCATTCATCTTTGGAGCTTTTGCTGCAAAGATATTTTACCCAAAAATGAACCTGAAGAGGGAGGAAAACACTAGTAGGAGTATGTCGGTTAAATTTGATTGAGAGAGATTGATGTAATTTTATTGATAATTTCTTTAATTTATCTTTTGGTGTAAAGCAGCCTGCTGTACAAACAGTTTCAAGCTGGGAGACACACAGGGAAGGTTTGAATAGTAGATTTGTCCCTGGGAGGATGGATCACTGCAGCCAAATTCCACTACCTCTCTGAGTCTTAGTTTCTGTCAGGTGGGAAAAGACCTTAAGTCATTCATTTAGTCATATCTGCAGAGCTGGTATACTTAGCGCAGCATTCCCCAGCCCTGAGTGATAGAGAACTTGTCATGCACCAGAATGGCTGAGCCACCCAATCCCTCTAGACAGCCCCTCTGGATTCTTTATGTTGAATCCACATCTGTCTCTCTACAGTTTGCACTCATTGGAGACGTACAGAATAAAATGTCCAATATTTGAGGACTGCTAACACATTTCCTTATTCCACTCACTCCACAAAGCTCTTTTTCTTCAAACTAAACATGCCTGTTATTTCAAACAGGGAGGCAGTGTGGGGCAGTGGAAAGAAAGCCTGCTCTGGAGCCAGACACATCTGCCTTCAGTTCCTAGTCCCTTCACGGAGTAACACTTAGCATTCTGAGCTACTGTAAGCTTTCTCTGAGATGGGTGAATGGAAATACCTAGCCAAACTCCCTTGAGGAGTAGGGTAAATTTGGTACTTTAAATTCCTACTATGAGAGCTGTTATACCTTCAGTGACATGATTTGTATTACATTTTAGTTGACTTCTGCACACATTGCTGTTTGTGTGTCTTAATATCTTCTCTGTTGAATGGAATAAAATACTCTCTGTGAAGTCTAACTTGCAGGATAGTATAGGATTAGCTTATTCTGGGTACTTCTCCAGTAGTCTGCAGTCTACATAGTCTACAGGCCCAGTAGATTTTTTTGGAACTATATCACACTGACTCACTAAATCTTTTGTCAATGAAAAACCTGAGTTCCTTAAAGCACTGTTGTTCAACCAACTTTCTCCACCCTGAGCTTTTCAAGTTTTTTTTTCCAAACCTATAATTATGGCTCTAAAAGTGGCAGTCCCAGTGTTCAATTATGTGGTCTTCATAATTATTCTTGCATTTGTCATATTCTTGGTCTCCAGTTGAGATTAGAAAAATATGATCATTGAGCCTAGGGTGCCAGCCCCGCTGATCTACTGCTGTTGTGCATCAGTGAGATGATAAATGCTGAGCTTTGTATGCTAATTTTTGCCCAAATCTGAGGTCTTTTTACGATATGCATTCATGTTAGAACTGGAATGTCTGATAAGTTGCTGGCTGAGGGAATATTGCTGTACGTGATGTCGGCCAAGAACAGTATTTGGAAGAACTGAAAGGTTTCCCTGAGAGCAAGCCAAATGGGGACTTTGCATTTATGTGTGGTTACATGTTTTCTCAGGTATTTTCAGGTTTTTATACCTTGGACCAGATTCTCCCTCTGCAGAGGAAGCTCCCCTCTGGAAATCAGGCACAGTTAGAAGATTGCTTAACTCTTTGGCTCTTGGGGCATTATGGCCAGCATTTTCTCCCATGACTACTGCAAGCTTTATCTGGGTTGATCCATCACATGCTCTGTGTTTTATCCATTCCTTGCCGTTGTGCTGGAGCTGATTGCAAACTGGAATGCTTTCTTTGCCTGAGCAAGTTCTGGGTTCCATGCCCATCTCAACCTCCATCCCTCCTTCAAGGAAGTTTTTCCTAACTTACTCTGTGCCCTGCTGGAGGACTTCTCCTAAATGTCAGTCTTGGAATTCATATTGTTTTGAGGAGCTTTCCCTCACTGTCTCCTACTTTCCCAGAGGTTTAAATGGTTTTTCTCTCTCTAGTCTACCTCCTTGTTCCATGTGGGTAGACATGTTCATGGTCTTCAGAATAAGATCATCTGTGGGACACTCAGTCCATTAATTAGAAAACTATCCTCATCTTGGATGCTGAGTCTTCCAGCCTTGTGAAAATGAAAGTGTCCAATTGTTTGTGGGTCTCAAAGGCTCCACTGACAATGTGAAAAATATATAATGCCGAGGCTTTTGTCAATAGTTTAAAATAGGAGTGCCTTGACTATGTTGAAAGGACCAATTTAAACTTTTCTAGGTAATTCAGTCTTTAAAAGGTGGTAGTAGCCAGTTAATACAGGTGACCCTTGACTTATAAAGGGATTAATTATATTCTGAGTAATCAATGAAGTCTCAGAGGATTAAATCCATCTGTAGCTTCTCATTTCTTTAAGACAAATTTCAGATTCCTTACCATGAACTATTCTTTCTAGCTTAATTGTTTTGCCTGTTGGTGTCCAAAAAGACACGCCGTTTTCCCTTAAGGTTTTGCTGTTGGGAGCCTCCAGTGCATTGCGAATCCCAACCCTTCTGGATGGAATGTTCTTTGTCTCTCTGGTAAATGTCTATTCATTATTCAAGACATCCCTTCCCCCTCCCCTTAATTACTTCCTCCCCTGTAGCCCTCAAATTCTTGTACTCATTCATTCAGTATTTGTTAGGGGCCTGTATTGTGGCCCACTTGGTGGCAGTCTCAGAGAATACAAAAGGTAAATAATATTTGGACTCAGCCTTTGAGAACCTTTACATGTTGGGGAGGAGGGGGCTGACTTCTCACAAAATGTTACTGAGAAATAAAAAGTAGAATTAAACAATTAAAAAAGTGTCTATCGCCTCTCCAGATGGCCAGTGTCTTCCTCTGGGGTGGGGGCCATTTCTCATTCATTTTGTACCCCCAGGCTCTTAGCACGCTGGGTGGTGCTAAACGAGCATTTGTTTCATGACCTTCTCAATTGGACCTCAGTAGAAGTATCCTCAGTTCTTCGCCACATATTCTGATGACACGCTCTTAGATGGTGGCTTCTTCAATGTCCAGTGGGTGGCCCTGAGCTCCTGGTGCGTGGTTAGATGCCCGTGGGCGTAGTCAGCCGGGCACTAGGCTTCTGCTGAACAGTGTGGAACTGTAATTGCTGGGCTGCGGCGCCACAGAGCTGCTGTGGCGCGGAAGAGAAGCCTGCAGCGCCCCTGCTGGAAGAGTCGCAGCAGGGCCCAGGCCTTGCTCGCTGGCGTGCAGCTGGCACGCGGTCCTCAGAATTTCAATTTACAGCTAAAAAATGCACACAGATATTCTGTGATGTGTTACACTTTTGAAGGCATAATAGAAACCTTTTCAAAGAATTATGAATTTTAGGAATGCTTTCCTTCTTTTTTGCACCTCTAAGAGCCTTTCATTGGTTGCATCATACACAAATAAAATGGGGCTTGCAATTCCGGATGGCGCGGTGCGTCCAGCGGGTTTCGGGATGGGTGCTGCGGTGGCCTCTTGCATGCTGACCACGTCGTGCTGCTGCAGAGGGAACGTGCCTGACACCCTGCTGTGGTCCCGGCTAGTGAAACCAGACTTTCCGCAACTTTGGCTTGCCCTGCTCCGTAGTGGTCATCCCATGAGTTTGTCCTCTAGCCCAAGGAAGGGTCCTCAGAGTCTGTCCTTCCCTAGCCACATGTGTGACCCTTGGTCATTACCATACTTAAGGACTTAGCCCCCTTTTTTGGACGTGGGTAGGCACAGGTTTCAGCATGCACACTTTGGGCACTAAACAGAAGCCACCACTGCAAGTACTCAGCCCAGCAGCCTAGGTCAAGCGATCATCCTCTGGGACTGGGGACCTGCGGGTGGTCTAAAGGAGTGTCGAGGTCTCCGGGTTCTGGCATCTTTACCCAAGGCTTGTCTGTGAGGAAGGATTTCTGCAGCACAACCATGAGCTCAGGGTTGGGGAGAGGGGGTCTGTGAGGGACCTACAGGGCGGTGGTAGGGGTTGGCACCCCCAAAGGTGCCCGTGAGGGGGGTTACCCATCTCTGCTGTGGCGGGGCTGTGGGGAGGGGCTTTCTGCAGAGAGAGCGAGCTGGAGGGACGCTGATGCGGCAGTGGGCGGGTCAGGG